TGTGTCTAACATTATCTCAACCTTCTTGTTGGTCATATGTAAAGTTGAAGATGCTTTGAAATAATAGGAGTTTAGACCCATTAGCTTGTTGGATTGTGTCTACAAGCTAATTTTTAAGGTCTTAGCCGAAAACTTGGAGGGCTAGTCTATTGGGTGAGTTTTGGCACCCTCTTACAGAGGGGGGACAAATTTTAGACGACATGTTGATTGTTACTAAAGTGGTTGACTATGTGGACAGGGTTTGGAGAGTCTAATTTGCAAACTTTATATAGGAAACAATCAACTATGCGGACATGTTGATTGTTTTATATGCAGAGAGACATGGGTTTGGTGATAAATAGTTGAGGCCTCGTATTTCTTTTACCTCTTTGGTGGCTATTTTTAGTAGTGAGCTATTAATTTTTTAAAGGCCTCTAGGGGCCCAAGGCAAGGGGTTTTTCTTTCTCCTCTCCTTTCTATAAATCTTAGTGAAGGTGCTAAACAAGTTGATTGTTAGAATAGATGGCTGGGAGAGGAAAGATTCTGTTTGATGGTGGAAGAGAAATGGAAAGGCTGCAAGGTCAAAGGCTTTGCCAGTTATAGATTTGCTTACAAATTAGAAGAATTGAAAAGAGGTATAAAAGAATGGGCTAAAGTAGAGGTCTCGAAGGAAAAATGTATTTTTGAGTCCATTATGAGTGAGATTGGAGCACTGGATAAAAAAGAGGACATGGATGGTCTAAATGAAGAGGAAAGAGATAAGAAAGGTTCTTTGCTCAAGCTGGCCGCCCATCTGAAGGCTGAAAAAATATCTTGGAGGCAGAAATCTAGGGAGAAGTGATTGGCTAAAGGGGACAGAAATACTAAATATTTTCATGTTATGACAACACATAGAAGAAGATGTAGTTACATTGATGAAATTTGGGTTGAGAATAAACAGATTCGCAGGAACAGTGATATTAGGGAGGCTGCCAAAGGTTTCTTTTCATAGTTGTATGACGAAAATCATGCATGCTGACCTATTCTTGATGGTCTGAACTTCAGCAGAATATCCAGTGAGAGTGGACAGAGGCTGGAAGCCGAATTCAGTGAGGAAGAGGTTTTGAGTGCCTGAAATCATGTAATGGATATAAAGCACGGGGTCCGGATGGGTTTAACATGAAATTTCTTCAGAAATTCTGGCCTTTATTGAAAGAGAATATTATGGATCTATTTTCAGAATTTCATTCTTCAGGTAAATATGTCAAATCCCTGAATTCTACCTTTATCACTCTTATTCCTAAGAAGAGGGATACAAAAGAGTTTAAAGATGTTTGGCCTATTAGCTTGGTTGGATGCTTGTATAAACTCATTGCCAAGGTGTTGGCTAGGAGGTTATCTAAGATGCTGGGTGATATTATTGGGGAATGTCAACATGCCTTTGTTGGAGGGAGACAAATTATGGACACTATCATGACAGCCAATGAACCTGTTGATGACTTATTGAATAACAAAACAATGGTTTGGTATGTGAGGGGAATCTTATGGAGTGATACCCCAGGATTTACACTATTGCGCAAAGAAAGAGTATGATTGTTGAGGAAGCTTACAGTATCATCAAGGAGAAAACAGTTTGGTCAGTTGAGGTTTCTAGAAATTTGAATGATTTGGAGATTAGTGAATAAGAAGAGTTATTGAAGATCCTTGAGGCACAACAGCTGAAATCGGGCAGTGATCAAGCTGTCTGGAGATGGGAAAAGAGAGGGGAATTTTCTGTATCCTCTTATTACAGATTATAGGCACTTGGGATGGAAACAACAGCTCCAATTCCTGGCTATGCAAATTTGGAAAACCAAAGCTCCTCCTTGCATTGTTTTTTTCGCTTGGGGGACCTGTTTGGAGAAGATTTTAACTATTGATAAACTCAGAGTTAGAGGACAGTTTTTGGTAAATGGATGCTACGGTTGTCTTCAGGCAGAGGAGACGTGTAATCATTTACTGTTGTGGTGTCCTATGGTTTACAATCTTTGGTGTATGGTGTATGATCTCATGTGGATTGAGTGGGTGATGGCAGGGTCGGTTAATATGGAAATTTGGGCTTGGGATGGTTATATGTAAAGGACAATATTGCTAATCTAGTTCCATTGATTATTTTTAGAATTATTTGGAAAGAAAGAAATTCTAGAGCTTTTGAGGGTGTTGAGAGTAGTGTGTACAATATAAGGGATAAATGGATTCACTATTTTGAGTCTATTTTGTTAGGGTATGACATTATTAGTGATGAGAATTTGAGAATGTCATAGATATGCTAACACTATTATAAAGTCTATGTACATGGGTGGTACCCCCTTGTTGGTACCGTGTTAATATATACTTCATACTTTTTATTTCAAAAAAAACAATCATTGGTTTATTCAGGGGCTGGTTGTGGAGGAATGAAGGAGGTAGTGGATGTGATGCATTTACTTTTTTCTGATGTGTTCTTTTATTTATGCAGGCTTGATTTAATGCCCGACTTGATGTTAGATGTACCCTTCTTTTCTTCAAGCTATATTAGGTCTTAAGATCAACCTAGCTAAATTTGAATTGGTTCACTCTTAGAATTGATTGGACAGGGATTTTTGTTGGAATCTTGAGTTGTCAGCTGTTTATCAGAAGCCTTGTCCATGGCTCTGATCTGGAGAAACAGAGAAAGAAGGAAGGGAAACAGTTGGCGAGAGAGAGAGAGAAATCCTTTGAAGTAAATATTTTCCAGTTATTTCAACTTCATACAAACAGTTTTCACCCAAAGTTGGTGTTGGAGGTTCTTTGTTGCCCCTTTTTACTTGGACTGTTTGATATTTAAAATGTTTAATTATGTACTTGTTTCACTATTATTATTCATAACTTGTGATGCCTTGTCCTGGTTTTCCTAAACTTTTTCATCAATACTCTTATTTGCTTGCAGTCTTTTGTACTGAATCTCATATGCAGCTTTTTTTTTCCCCTGCAGCCATTAATTGTTAATGCTCTAGGTCATGGAGCTCCTGTTGCCATTGCTCCCAGTACTCTGGATCGTCAAGATAGAATCCCCCCTGCTGTATCAATTGGCAACCTCGTATGCTTTTTCTTTTTTGGTTGTTTTCCAAGTTCATTGGCATATCTGTTTGCACTTCCTGGTCAAATTTATATCAGCTGTCTCTGCAGAGCCCAATGGACAGCAGTAGGCTTGTTGATGTTAAGCCACGAATATCTGATGATATTGATAAGATTAAGAGCTGGAAAATTCCTGATATTGTGGACCCATCTCACCTAAAAGCTCTGCGTTTGCCTGATCCTGTAACAGCAGGCAAGGTAAGTAGTGTAAGAATATGATTGCTCACTTTTTTCTTGATTGAAGAAGAGAACTGCTTGTTTGTTTCAATTGTAATGACTTAATTAGTATCCATGATGTTTACTTCTTGGTGCTTGACTCCAATGATAACCATCTCTAAAGAAACAATTTATGTTCAGCATTTCTCTGAAGGAAACTTAAGGTGCCTTGTCTTTTTCAGGACTGGTTAGAGTAGGCTATACATTTGGCAGATCTCTATATATGATAATGCAGTATAAATAATAACTTTGGAGTTTTTATATTAGGACATCGGAGAAGTTAATAACAATATTCATTATAGTGTTATAGCTTTTTTTTTGGAGCTTTAATCTTTGGTTTATATCTTCGGGCCCTACCGATCAACTGTCCAGCTTATTTCCTGTCTGCTACCTATGGCCATCTTCCGTTTTCTGTAGTCCATAGTTGGGCTTGTCTGTTTTTATCCTCATGTAATCCTACTTGCACCTGTGGCTTGTTACAGTGCAATATAAATAACAAGTAGAGCCGTTTTTCATTGGCTTAAGTTATTGAGGTAATTTGTAACTAAATTATTTCGAACAACCTCATTAGTTTGTTAGACTTTTAAATGGAAGGGAACTAGATGGAAATATTAGTCAGGAGGTGAAGCTTAATGGTCGGAAACTGGCTTTTGATAGAGCAGCTATATTTTTTTCGGTCTTTTTAAACATTATGTAACCAGAAGAGATTTAGTATCATCTGATGTTTACGAACTGATGGCTGTAGTCGGATGTGTGGATATGATTGAGGTCTGGATTCATGTGGGAAATACCTCATGTTGATTTGTAATACTTGAAACATGGTGGAAGTTACATGCAGTCTTTATGCTTTATATCTAATCTCACAGGAGTATCTGTTATAATGAATTACAGGGGAACTATATACAAACTTTGGACTGGAATGTGCATCACCTACCGCCTTTATATAGGATGTTTGCCTTTTTTTCCCCTAAAGTTTCAATTTTAATATTGACAGTATGGGTATCTTTCTAGGATGTAGGTTGAATCATTCAACCTCGTGCTAAGTGCTCTTCTCAAACAAAATCGATATTTGTTCTTAACCCATGCAGACACTTTCATATTCATAATGCAATTTCATGATCTTTGTAATAAAAATGCATCAATTGGATGTATTCACTTTGATAATTTTCCTGAAATTATCCAAAATCAAGGAAAATGATTGGAATTTGCAGATTTCTTTTTTACTGCCTATGCATTTGCATTACTTGTTGGGATGCACAAAGAGATTTTTATTTTATAGGATTTTTATGTTGCCGGAGTTGAGAGAATGTCAACTGTGGTTGCAGGTTGTGAGGCTGATCTACACAAATTCTGGCCTGGCTGTATTAGCCCTTGCTTCAAATGCCGTTCACAAGCTTTGGAAGTGGCAACGTAGTGAAAGGAACCCTTCGGGGAAGGTTTGTCTTATTTCTGTTTATATATGCTTCCCTGGTTTTCTTTTGTGGGGAACACATCTTATAGCTTTCCCATTAAATCTTTCAGGCTACTGCATATTTTCAGCCACAAATGTGGCAGCCTCCCAGTGGTACTCCTATGACTAATGACATAAATGAAAGTAACCCTGCAGAAGAGTCTGCAGCATGCATTGCTTTATCTAAAAATGATTCTTATGTCATGTCCGCATCCGGTGGGAAGGTATCTCTTTTCAACATGATGACATTCAAGGTTGGCATCTGTGGTTCATTATTTTTGTAGTTCACAATTCTCTTCATATTTATTTATTTTTTCATGACTTAATTACATTGTTCTCGATACTAATCAAACTGGTGAGGGGCATTGCAGGTCATGACAACATTCATGTCTCCACCTCCTGCAGCCACATTTTTGGCCTTTCATCCCCAAGATAATAATATAATAGCCATTGGCATGGAGGATTCTACAATTCAAATATATAATGTCAGAGTCGATGAGGTCCAGTGTCTTTTTTTTCCTTTGCACTTCAAGTTTCAAGAAAATTTTTGGACATGCACCTGATTATATTGTTGGGTTATTAAAGGAAAGATTCTGAGGAATGTTTGAGGACATTCGTTTTTTGATGATCCAGAAATTTTGTATGGGGTATCTGATTTTTGAGCATGCTTGATCTTGATATCCATTGCAGTCAAACAAAGATCAAGGCCACCAGACCCGATAACTGGGCTTGCCTCTCTCAACTTTAAATG